GCCGGAGAGAGAAGAGAGGAGGGAGGAAAGTTTTAAAATACCAAAAATATCCTTGCATTAATATTTTAATTCAAAATTGCCAAAATTATAAATTTCCTAATTTTACTATTGATTTGTGGTTAATATTGGTTCTCACAGTTACCACAAACTAATTAGTTCTCATTTGATTAGGCCCCTATATATATATATATATATATATATATATATGTGTGTGTGTGTGTGTGTATGTGGGTGGGCTTAATGAAATAAGAACTAATTAGTTTGTGGTAACTGTAAGATCCAACGTGAGTCAATCATTTAAGATAATTAATATGTTTCTTGAAATAAAATAGAAGGGTAAATTAGTAATTTGGGTTGATTATTCAGTTTACTATAAATATTCCAATTTATTTTAATTAGATTAATTACTTTATTGTATATATGTATGTATACACACACGGACACACAAGGGACCAAGATCCAATGGCCTTCTTCGGCACACATTGCACACGTACACACACACACACACATATATATATATATATATACACACATAGGTATCATAGTGGTACTATAGTTGGTATCATACTGGTCTCGAATTTTACTTGGTGTATTTTGGGTATCACATGGTGTTCGTCGAAATAGGGTTTACCGGAGACCGGAAGCAAAGCAGGAGAGAGAGACAGAGGAGAGAGAAAAAATTAAATACCTAAAATGCCCTTTAATTAAAATTTAAGTCAAATTACCAAAAATATTAGTTTTCTAATTTATGAATTGATTTGTGGTTAAAATTGGATCTCACAGTTATCATAAACTAACCAGTTCTCCTTGAATGGACCTCCCTCTCTCTCTCTCTCTATATATATATATATATGTATGTATGTGTGTGTGTGTTGTGTTGTGTGTGTGTGTGTATCCATAGATGAAAAATAGCACATGATGCTCCAATTCTCAAGATTATCACAATTTATTAGATTCTTGAATGATTAAGCCCATATGTATATATATGTATATGTTATATATTATATATGCGTATATTATATATTTTATATATGTATATTATATATATATATGTATATATATATATATGTGTGTGTGTGTATATGTATACAGGTGGAGATTCAAACGAGAACACTTTCATTTTACGAGAACACGAGAACATCCTTATCACATGTGATAATACGCGTGAGGGGACCTGTGATTTGCGAACGATGTGTTCTACGACTTAGGTCGCGCCAAAGGTTGTCTGCGTCTATGATTTAGCATAACATGTGATGGTTTTGATGGATTATAGTATCATATCAATAACACCCTTATCACATGTGATAATACTTGTGAGGGGACTTAGTAATGTAAGGGCGACTTAGCCCGCAACCAAGATCCCATCGAAAATCATCCGCGTCTCTAATTTAGTATCACATGTGTATCATATGTGATGGAATGATAGTATCATATGTGATTGTCTATAGTAAAAAAGTGTTTTCGCGTTCTCCTAAAATGAAGATGTTCTTGTTTGAACCGTTCCCTATATATACGTACATATACATACATATGTATACATATATATAGACTTATATATATATATATATGGGCAGGTTCAAACGAGAATGCTAAGTATTTAAGAAAACAAGAAAAATGTCGTTAATATACAAAATCATATATGATTCACGTACAAAATCATATATGATTCACGTACAAAATCATACATGATTTGGCACGACTCTACCCGCGACTTAAGTCACGGCAAAAGTCAAATGATTCCATTTTTTGACATTAATGTAAAATCACATGTGATTTTGTACATTAATGACTTTTTTCTTGTTTTCTTAAATAGTTAGCGTTCATGTTTGAACTCCCCGTCTCTCTCTCTCTCTCTCTCTCTCTCTCTCTCTATATATATATATATATATATATATATGTTGCTTCTTTTTGAGATATATAAATATGTATATTCTCACACACTTGTCACAGAAATATGTACGATCTAATGAAGCTACTATGAAATATTTACTCATAAGTGGGGCAAGCTCTTCTATTCTGGTTCATGGTTTCTCTTGACTATATGGTTCATACAAGGGAGAGATCAAGCTTCAAGAAATAGTGAATGGTCTTATCCATACACAAATATATAACTCCTCAGAAATTTCAATTGCGCTCATATTCATCACTGTAGGAATTGGGTTCAAGCTTTCCCCAGCCCCTTCTCATCAATGTACTCCTGACGTATACGAAGGAGTGCGGTTCAATGCCACCGGGACGTTACCCCTAACACAAATGGGCCAATGACCCTTTGGTTATTCAATTTCACACCGTTCATTATCAACACTTTTAAGATGAATTTATCGTGTAAAAGTTGTTCCATCAACCACTTTTAAATCTCAAGCATACATAAACATTTGCTAAAAGAGCTTCTACTCTAGTTGAGCTATGGCAAAGGTACAACAACTTCAAGCATTAGGCCTTTCCTCTAGTTACGTATAATTAACGAGCCCCTCATAAAATTATCGACAGACAGAAGAACCTCAAGATTCAACTGATTGAGTTGGTATCTCTCTTTTGCATTTTCCCATGAAGTTGTAGAAGTAGCGAGTTGCTCACGACAAAGATTGAGCTGAACGCCATCAGTCCACCTATCAAAACAAACATGTATCAATTTTCTACACTTCTGCAACCTTTGTATTCAAACTTTCAAGGTGAAGAATATGTGGGTTACTTTCTAAAAAACCCTTTTAAGGAAAGGAGAGGAGAGGAGAGGTTTCAACATATATCAAGGAGAATAGGTCCAGTCTAGCCGACATAAGGCTCTAACACACCCTCTCCAATTAAGGCTAGACGGACACAGATTATCCCAAAGTCGCAAGAGGCGCCTAGATGAGTACAAATTGCCAAAAGTGTCGAGCCCTAGAGTGGTATACTTCAGGTCTGATACCATTTGAGAATACTTTGAACCCCATTATATTACTATCACAGGAGCCTATGAAGACATCGACGAGAATAGGTCAAGTCTAGTCGATAAGGGACTCTAACAAAGAAGACGTTAAGAAACATCATAGAACAGAAATTCTGAATCACCTGATAGCGATGGGGTCATTGCAAAATCGAAATGAGGAAGCAGCAATCCAGCTGCAACTGGGATTGCAACCACATTATATGCCACTGCCCACAACAAATTCTGATGAACTTTCGACATTGTTGCTTTTGCAAGATCGAGTGCATCTACCACCTACAACTTTGGTTAGTAGGATAACAGTTCCATGTGAAAAGTAATGAAGTAATAAGGCAGTACATGGAACTTATTCCACTGAAGTCTTTTTTTTCTTTTTTTTGGGGGGGTGGCGGGGGGAGGGGGGCAGTTATATGTAAATGCTTACTTGTGAAAGTCTGTTCCCAAGAAGTATAATGGATGCTGCATTAGAGGCGGCATTTTCCTGTCCTTCAATTTGCAAAGCGATTCCAACATCAGCTAGAGCCAAGGAAGGTGCATCATTGATCCCATCGCCCACCTTTTAGAGGTTGAAGTTTGTTAGAACTACAAGGCATTTCATAGTCCTAAACAATTATGAACATGAGAGATAGTATTGATGTCCATTGCTGGCCTTTATAGATTTAAGTCATGTTAGAAGACATTTTATAGCTCTCAATAAATATGAATATAGCATATAGTATTCATGTCCATAAAATCAAAAGGAATAGGCATTCCCCGAGTTCCATTCAAGTTTCCATATATGGTTCAGGGTATTGAAAGACAAAAGCACGAGGCGAGGCTTACACCTCAACAAAAAATACAAACTTTCATAAAATTGATAACAAACAACACATATTCATTATCAAATAACTAAACCAGTAATTCACGCAATAGTTGAGGTGTGATTTTGGTAATATGCTCTAAATTGGGGGTAACTGTGCTATAACTCTCTGATATTATCCCCTGCTTCTCGACCACCTAAAGTTGAATGAGAGTGCAGAAATGACCATCACCCTTCCTTTCAACCTTTTGTCTTCTTCACCCATCAAATGGTCTTTCTCACCACCTCCATTACCACCACCACTTGTTGATCTTGAGAGTCGAAGTTTTGACAAGCATGAGGGAGGATAATACAGAATAGTGCATGAGAGAAAAGAGGAGAGACAGACCATTTTTAGCATTTCATTTATCAAATGAAGAGAAACACAAGTCGTCTGCCTCATGTCGTCTCATGCCTCCCTCACCTTAGTACACCTCATATTGGGCCGCATCCATGGAAGGCATACGCCTCAATCCCAGCAGCAGAGGTGTAGCCTCACTGCCTCAGAAATCGTTGTGGACCACCTCGACCAATTTTTATAACCATGGTAAGGCTGATGTTTAAGGTTTTCACATCAAAATGTTACATCAGGAAAAGATACCTTGAAATACATCAAACAAAAGAGGGGTGCATAGAAGAACACGAGACTTTCCTTCAACTTTTCAATTTAAAAATAGGCATACCTTGTATTATGGAGGTTAGAATTACAACATGACCATCATATTATTAACATGATTTTACTGAAATAATAGTGCATTGACTCGAATAATTTCACTTACCAAGTTGAATAAAAGAAATAAATTGTCGATACGCAGATGTGCATCAAGTTTATCGCACAGTTTCACTTCTATTGATTATTGAATAATCAAATTGCCCTAAACGGTTTCCTTGATGTGTTCAACATTTTAGTTCTTGATTGATATTCAACATTATGATTATATTTTAGCATAATAAACTGGATACACATTAATATTCTGTGACAGAAAAAATCTTACCATTGCAACACAGTGGCCAGCAGTTTGCAGATTTGAGATGGCACCAGATTTTTGTTGTGGAGTCAAGGATGCATTTATAAGATTACTTCCTATTCCCACTGTCTTTGCTACACTTGCAACTGCCTCTTCCCTGTCTCCTGATAAGAGGACTGTTTTAATCCCCTTTTGCTGTAGCCTTGAAAAGGTAAGCAACAGAAAAAGCAACAAGGAATGTTAGACGGGCAATCGCCATCATACTTTAAGGTTGACATGCTACCAACAGAAATGCAAAAGGATTTAGATGTTTCTAATTGGAAATCTTACTGTAACAGAATAACAAGGTCCCGAAGAAGCAACACTAACATTAATGTTAAATGGCATGAGTTCAGTAGGCAGAAAAGTTGCGGTTAAAGGGGGACTATGAGTATACGTGTCCAACAACTATGGTCTGAATTTGTTTCGAGTTAACAATCTCACACTTTTGTCATATAGACCTGTTGAATATACATATAGGTAACATTTTTGGCCATTCCAACCATATTTGAAATTTTTCGCACTAGAATATGTATTTGACCATTTTATACTTACCAGAAATAGCAACATTACCTTTTATCCTTGACAACTAATTGAAACCGTCATCTTTTAAACTAAAAATTCTAGAGTAACAGGAAAAAAACAAGAAAAAAATAGTGCCCAGGCACCCATTTCTCAACACCTCCTGCACCTTCTTCAATGGCTTTGGTTTTGGGGATTCCATGGCTTCATCTTCTTCAACGACTATGATGGAGAAGAAATGAAATTAATAAAATATCTGTTGGAAATTTTCAATTTCCCCTTCTAGAGTTGATCGGATATACTAATGAATCAGAGATTTTCAATACCCAGTGGTTTTGAGATGTAGATCAAGTTGTTGAGTTTTTATGTTTATAATGTTCAAGTTCGTACACTGGATTGAAGTGAAGCTGCCATGTTTAAGTGGATAGAAAATAGACATATAACACACTCTTTGCTCACGCTTTGACTTGTGGGTTTAAGATGCAGACATATCGAATTTAGCTTATCCAGGTTCTTCATTAGGTTTTGGGAAAGACGACAGGACCCCTGGCAATATAAAACAAACAATGGAAACAAGGCCTAAAGAATAGGGACAACAGCTCAACCAATGTTCAAAAAGGCACGTCATAGCGCGATATGGCACAAGAGGGAGATGTCACTGATGTGCGAGTTCACATGGCAAAATGAGAAAAATTGTTGCAAAACTTGCAATCAGGAATCAGAAGCACAATGAGGACAAATTTTGTAGGCTGGGTAAAAAAAACAAAGCAGACAAAGATAATCATATCACTCACTCTCTTGAGCATCATCTACTGATGTAGAGGGGATTTTTAAGGGAAAGGCAGACAGGTGGAACAGAAAAAAGTTGAAAAAGGTCACTTTTCCAAGGGATCTTCACATGATCAACAGTTGACGATGAACCTAATATTTTGCAATATCTCAGTTTAACTAGGTCAATTTCTTGTATAATTAAACGAGTTCTAGAGTTCCAATGTAGTTTCTTATATCTTACATCATCATGCTAGCAACGATTAGTCAAACAAGATGGGACATGTGGGATCAAATAGTTATATTATGAAATTCATTGACCAAGAATGAGATGTGCATGTAATGTCTAAAGTTGTTAACTTCCATTGATGAAAATTAGACTATGTTAGTGTTTCAAGAACTTCAATAAGGTGATCAATACCCACAACATGAGTCATAGGCGTGATTACGCCCATATGTTAAGAACAATGAAGGTAAAAAAAGAACTAGAAGCTATGGGATGAAATGATCGAAGATTGTGCATGCTCCTGAGTAAGCTCATGTTCAAGGTCCACCACAACTCAAACAATCAATAATATACTTCTAACTAGATCCTATTAATTGAACAGAAATACCAAGTATCAACCCAACGTAAAGTTCTATCACTTTTTCATGAAAAAGATTCAAGGATAGTACCTTTTCACGGTAAACTCAGCATCTTGACGTAAATTATCAGATATTCCTATAGCACCAATGATCCCCTCTCCTTCCCGACCAATGAAAACAACTGTCTGTGAATGATTCGACGATGAACGACCTTCAAATGATTTTTGCATCACATCCTGCTCCAGATTTATTATATCAGAAATGTTTTTCCTGTGCTCGAAACGTTCATGAACCCATTTCATAGAGCCAACGGCAATCAAATGGCCATCTACTTCTGCCAAAGTACCAAAACCTGGTTCTGCCAACTGCCTACTTGTAACTGGAATGTTTAAATTCAATGATTCTGCTTTAGATATGATAGCCTTTGCAATGGGATGTGATGCTGTTTTTTCTACTGCAGCAGCCAATTGGAGGATCTCTGCTTCTCCATGACTGAAAGATGCAACAGCAGAAACAGCAGGTTTTCCTTCTGTAAGAGTCCCTGTCTGGTAATTGCGAATGAGAGACAGGTCAGCAATTTTACTCCACTGTAACTTGAAGCCTACATTGTAAAGCTTGGCCACCAGCTACAGAAAATGAGAAAACAGCATTAACCAAGGGTGTTCAAATACCTTGTCAAGTGTAACAATGTCGATGCCTGACAAGCGTTCCAACACATCACCTCCTCTGATAAGAAGTCCCTGCTTAGCTCCTGCTCAAAATTCATAGCAAAAAAGCCAAAAAAAAAAAAAATTAAAGATAGCTATAAAGTGCCTTAGTTAACTAGACACCTTGGGCATATTGTTAAAAGTATCAGTTCATTTATTTACTTAGTTGGGCCATAGAAGCACAGCAATAAACAGTTAACCACCCGAACCTCAGCAACTCCGCTGGTTTGTATAGTGAATGTGACTAAGAGATTTCTAACAGGATAGCAACAAAAAGTCAGCCGTGGAAGGTATGTTGGAACTGGTATAAGATAGTTAATCTTTTGGCTTCTCTCAGTGCTGTTATATTTAGGAGTAAAGGGAAATACAATATTATTGTTGTTAGCAAGAAAAGCTTTATGTGTAACCCTCTTTGGTTTCACCATTCTCCTTAGCGACCATGTGTTCCCATTCTTGAGTCCTAAATAAGATGGATGTATAAATGAACCAAACCATTTACTTATAGATATTTGGACAGAATTAAGTTTCAACTTTTCCTTTTCAATTGCTAGTTTCTACTATTAACTTTTATTTCCTAATTGCCTGTTGGGTAGAATGTAATGGTGTAGAAAAAATAGTAATTTGAAGGCAGGGGCTGAGATGCCCTCCATGATACACCAGTATTAGAAGATATAGGCAAGAGAAATACTCACAAGAGGATCACTTATATTAGATGGTGTACCTAGAGAGGTTCCGACAAGAATGGCAGTTGGTGTCGCAAGGCCTAGTGCACATGGGCAAGAGACAACCTGAAAAATAATGTATTGATAAGCAAAGTAGGATGGTAAATCTTCATGCAGACATATCTCTGTTACTTTTTTGTTTGAAATAGGGAGCATTGACAGATGCTCATTTTATAAGAACTATCGCATAAGTTTGGGAAGTATAAAAAAAAGAAATTCTAGGATCATCCTCGAGTTGGGAGAGTTAAATCAACAAACATTAAGTTTGGAGAAAAACAAAAGGATATCATGTTAACTGATATCCTCAAGCAATGATAATATCACTTGGTTAACAATGCACCACTTCATGTTCCCTATGACTCACCAAGACATCCGTGGAAAGCTTTAAGCTCAAAAGCAGAGGATTTCCCTCTGGCCCAGAAATGTCATTAAGCAGCACATCTGGAAAAACATTTACCCCAACATAGTACCTTGACAACAGAAAACAAAAAGCCACAAGGATAACTCAGTAAAGGTTGTAAAAATAACAATATACTCACATATCATGTTGTTATCTCCTACGTCACCAGCATCAGCATCATCAACAAGTGTAACTACATAGATGAAAGATCATGCAAGAAAAAATTATAGAACTTCGTAACTATTTGGCCTATCATGTCAACTACAAAAGCCTCCTCATAATCTAAAATGTAGAATTGGGATTTTCCATTTTATACTAAGGTATTACTCACTTAAAAACTGAAAACTGGACCATTGCACACAATATAGTCAAGCATCCATGTCTGGCTTCAACATGGAGGAGAGAAGTACTTCGTTATGAGGAACAGATCTAGAATTGCATCACATAAATTTAAGACAAAGAACTAGCAACAAAAAGACAATCATTGCAGTGATTTGGCTTTGAAATCTAAGTTCTGTTCATTTAAACATCGCATGGCAGTGCACATTGACATTGAGGTTTTGCTTTGTAAGTTCAAAAACACAGGAACTTGCTTATCTTACCATATCTTACCAACTAATTTAAAGACTCAAAAACATTGTACATGAAAGCACAGACTAGAGGCCACTAATGCAACTACCCCAGGGCACACTCTAGATATCCTTGGTGTTGGTCATGATTAATAGCACTCTGCATTGGGGTCAGTATCTGCTATAGTCTTCCTGCTCAGGATTATTAAGCAGGTATGATTATAAGCAGTCTTCCAAGTCTTTCTAACTACTATTAGAACTCCATATTAGTACCTTAAACTTGCATTATTGTAGTAAACGATAAATAAGTAGTTGCATACCAGAAGGCAAATGTTGCTACTGATAAAGTCATAACACTGTACACAAATGGCCCAGCAATCGAATCTGCAAGCCTCTGTATAGGTGCTTCACGGCCTTGAGCATCCTCTACCTAAAGAAGGTACAAAATGGTGCTTTAGACACTGCAAAAACTTGCAATACCATTAGGGGGCAGTATTGATCAGTAAAGAATAGTTTTAGTTGCCATCTATGCGAAGGTATTTGTCAACGTGATGGTGGATGGTACTAAAACCGAAGTTCGCTATACTGCAATGATCCTAGAACCCATACCAATAACAAAACAAAATGGTCTCAGTGCAGAGAGCCAGTTCTCCGGTCACAGACAATTTGTTTGTCTCTAAAGACGATGGCAAAGCTGAACATGCAAACATATACAATACACAAAGAGATTGCACCACAGAGGGAAAAAGTGAAAAGATTGCCCAACTAACATAGAAATTATCTAGGATAATGATTCAGGACAGTCTAATCCCTGCAATGATTATAGGGAGCACATCTGGGAGACTGAGGCCATTAAAAAACTGAGCTAATGAATTGAGTTAGCATGCCATCCTCAACTATAAACTGACTAAGATAGAGTTTTCCAAGTATAGGTTCCGAATAAAACGCACATCAAAGACGAGAACTAAAAGAACTTAGGAGCCGTTTACCGAACACTTACCCGGGTAAGCACTTACCAAGTCACATTACCTCACCGGATGAATATGGCAAGGACCAAGAATCAAGAATTTTACCCGATAAGAGCGAAGGCAAGGATCAAGAGTCTTACCCGGTAAGTGAGGGTGACAACTCTTGCCAGGTTAGTGCTTACCGGGTAAATTGTTGCATACAATGCCATATTGGTGGACTAAAATCTTACTTGGTAAGTAAGTGATAGTGTTAAATTTTACCTGTTAGCGCTTACTGGGTAAGTGTTTGGAAAACCGCCAGTTAATCTGCATTAATATGATCCACCTAGGATTCTTAGGCAAATAACTAGCGTTTGAGAGAGGTCTTGATAGAGAATTAATGATGTCTGTGTCACTGTATGTCAAGGAGAGAGCGTGTATTTCTCTCTCTCAATGTCAACACACAAATGCATTTGCTTGTTTGTCTTCAAAATCTAATCCAGGCAATCAGGCATTGTTACTCAGGATAAAGGGAAATAAGTAATGAAAAAAACTATCTGGAGTATAGTTGGCCAGGGTGGAGTGATTAATCCTTATGCACTTAGCTTGAATTCTTGTGAAGACTGGTAGCCAGGAGCACCTTTTGCTCCTCAGAAAAATTAGTTACATGCTTGCATTGCATAAAACTGATAAATAAAACAAGCATTCATGCTAAAGTGTCGGGATAGAAGTCAAATATAAGGTGGTTGAATCACTGTTGTCAGGCTATAGACGCAGGCATTGTCCAAAAATTTCCCCACCACATTAGCCAGTGACGGCAATGGATCAGTGCCCTGCCATCTTAGATTAACCATCAACATGTCCATGTGTCTTTTAACATATTAAAGACTAAACAAGAGCATCCACGCAGGTGAACTTCCTGATAATTGGGATGTAAAAAATGGAAATGTGTTTACTATGATATATCATCCAATCAATATGGAAACAAATACTGACCATTTTGACGATCTTTGTTATTGTTGAGTTGGAGCCTGTGGAAGAAGCTTCAACTTTCAGTGGACCATCCTGAAAGACAATCATGAAATATGGTTATGATCACGCCGGGGCCAGTAGAAGAAGCACCAAATTCAAGAATCCATCCCTAAACATAATAGAACTTTTTTACTTAGATGACATAAGAGGCCATATTGTGAGGAACATGCCCTGCATGTTAAAATTCCAAAAACTGATATATATACATATATCTATTTATCTATCTATCTATATATATATATATATATATATAATATGTGGAGATCAAACCTAAATGTGTCTTGTATTAAAACTAAAGTTGATATACCAAGGCCACAATGTTATCTCCGAATTTTGGAAAAGGAAAATACTGACTGAAAAAGAAAAGTAGATAAACCTTGATAGCCAGCAGATTACTATCACAACTAACACCAAAAATTCAAGCTAAAAATTATGAGATCGGCAGGAAATGCAGTTAATTTGACAAAAGCAGTCACAAGGTAGGATGGTGTTATTGATGCTATATATGAGGCATAAGTTAATCTCACATATTCCCTGATTTACTTGAATAGTAACTTGGCCCTTCACCACTTGGCAAAAAGTTTAGCATCTAAACTACACTTTCAGTAATAAAACTTGCAATTCTAATTCAGTAGTCATAAACAGTTTCATGTTCAAAGATCATAATTGTTTTGATCTGACTGCTTAAAAATCATAACTAAAACTAGTTGGAGCAGCATACCCAGTTTATTGTTCCGGCCGAGACTAAAAGACCTCCTTCCTTGAAAACAGGAAGGGACTCGCCAGTGAGCATGGACTCATCCACAACACTTCGCCCTGCGATAACTCTACCCTGTACACAAAGTTTAATTTATCATATAAATGCGAACTTCTTAACCCAAGGAAACATGGAATTTACATATAAATCATAATATGCAGACAGGGTTTCCGAAAATCTTCCATCACCAAAACTTTCAGCAACTTTATTATCATACTCAACACTTGGCTCCTTAAGAGACTGTTTATGACATGCTGAAGATATATTTAAGCACTCTTTCACTTGTCAAGTTCTTCATACAGTGAAAACTAAAATAATTTTTGGTTCTAAGGCAAGTGAAAGCAAACGAGTATGATATATAATTACTGTTGCCAGTAAAACTGCTGTGCAGCACACGAAAACTGTTCGAACTAAACAATAAATTAGGACTTCTCACTAATAACCACTTGAAAGAATTATAAGCCCAACAGAAATGAAGGTTGTTTCAAAATAATAAATTTGAGAAGATCGATTCACTCATTATAGCAACTTCAGGTTCATTTTATTGACAATGTAGATTACCACAAGATTATGTGGTTACAGTACGCAGTAGATGTAAATAACAATGGTTAACATGAAAGTTAACAACACTTACATCTACAGGAATAGTTTCTCCTGGCAAAACCAATACCAAGTCTCCAACTCGAATGTCATCAGTAGGGACTTCAATACAGATAGAATCAGAACTTAGTATGCTATCAGCAGATTTATCACTTTCAGAGGAAGATATCACTAATCGTGACTGTGTGGATATCAGCGACTGCAGAGACATAAAACATGTTGTATATTCATATATCAACAAATATACTTCACTGAAGAGAAAAAATCACATTCCAGTACATAAAAACGATAGATTCTTCTTCATAGTTACCACTTAGCAGCAAGTTTGGTGATACAAGTAATTTAGACATATTAGAAGGGGGTTTATTTTCTATAGTGACCATGTGAGTTTCTTACATGAACATGATAGACACAAGGGTACTATTAGATGAGAGGCTAATTACTGGGTATATGAGGCATGTTTATGAGGGCACAAAGATGCGGTTACAAATATAAAAGAAAGTGGTAAACAGATCTGAACATCTGTTTGTGTGATATTTACTTTGATTTATTGTCATCTACAAAATGTTTGTATTTCCCTTCAATGGATGAACCCAATTATCAAAATGGATTTTCTCTTTTGAACACAAAACTGTTGTAACATTGCAATTCATCACTAACAAAGAGAGTCACAATGAATATAATGCAGACATCTAAACAGAAGCAACATTAAATTAATTGTGCAAATTGACCATATACACTATCATGCATTGTGTAGATGTCATAACACTTGTAATATCACTAACTTTTGGGATACTTTCATTGCAGAAAAAGTGCTGAAGTCAATCCTCCCATATAAGGTATATCAAGTATAAATTTACCTAATAATTTAATTACAAAAAGGTTGCTTCTCAATGGTACCACTTCTGAATTATAATGCACAAAAGCTTCCCAAAATGTTTTAAAATTTCATTGAGAGTAGCCCTACAGTAATCATCAAACTTCAGAGGCATGAATTCATGATATAAAAGTCAAACAAATTTGCTAAATTCATTATATTAACTTCAAACAAGTTCGTTAAATATGTAATATATCTGATATGGCAACGTAGATATGGAAGCATGTGTAGACATAATTGATTTCACAATTTAAGTCATTTTGTAAGGAAATGTCACTTGCCATGTCAAATATCCACTTGTGGAACTGCAGCTTGCAAAGACCAAATATAACCATGTGTGTAGTAATAAACAGATAAATAGGTTCATTTTGTATTTTCAATGAGCTATGGATAGTATACCATATACGTACATAAACACGAGTGTTTTCTAGTTCGATGTTTGCAGGTTATGCAAGCAACTTATAGCGCTTAACGATGTAGGAGAATTGAGAATTATGCTTTCTTGAGCCTTCTAGATAGTTTGGAAGAACAAAAATGAAAACAAACAGTGATGCATCTGAACTGATATATATAAGTTTGTTCTATATTCTCAAAGAGCAAATACAAACATAAGGGCGATTGAATAATAAACTTACTAATAATTCATTCATGTCGCTAGACGCCCTAAGTCTTGCCCTTTCTTCGAGTGAACGTCCCAGGAGAACAAAACCAAGAAGCATGACCTGCATGCTAAAAGAGAGCACCCCAATCATGAAAAATTTATGATTGAGCAAACTACCCCATACACCCACCATAGAATCAGAGAAGAAGATATTCAATTCTAAAACAGTAACTCAATGAGCAGAAAGCAAAACAAGGTATTAAGCAATTAAAATGATAAGGACAAAGGTGTCAAATTGAGAAGATATTAGTAAGTGACAGTAAACAAACCGGCTCATCAAAGAATGTCGCATCCCATCCAAGCTCGGGGTTTAGAAGTGAGATCTAAAAGATGGAGAATACATTAGTTGTATGAAATGTGTAAAAGATGTAAAATTAACAGCAATATTACGCAAGAGAAGCTCACCGCACTTATCATAAATGCAGCAATGGATCCAAATCCGACAAGAGAGTTCATATTTGGAGATCCCTTAAAGAATGCCGTAAGACCATCAGATAGCAAATCTGAGAAAGGTTTCATTTAAAGATCAGCTGAATGAGTGACCCCCAAACACAAAATGATCTAATAATGTCTTATTTTTGTGCTTTCTCGGATGTTCAAGTGCAATTTTCCTATTTCATAAAGGGCCACGATTAACTCATTAAGACAACTTATCTCTTTTATATAACTTGTTAAATGGGTAATTGTTTTGTTTTTTATTCTAGAACACACCATGTTGCCATCTTGGGCACTTGAGATATAAATAACCCAAACCTGAATGGGTTGAAGCAATATTGTGGATTTTGCCAACGCCAAAACCTTGTTGAAACAGATTAAGTCGAAAAGAATCATGCATCTGTGAATAGTAAAGTTCAGTTTTACTTGATGTATGTTCTTTTGAGTTCCTATAAGCCATCTAAACAGTTTTCCATTGGCATGTTTTTATAGTTATTTAATATTTGGACCAAGAAGGATTTATAATGTGAATTCTTCCGTGAATGGGAATTGTGAGGTATTTGATATTAGTCATGCCTAGTTGTGCAATGCTCTCGTGGTTCTACCTTGTACACTATAAACTTGAGGATCTGAATTCAAATAAGATAAACTTGGTAATTGTGTGTGTATATATCGATTACAATCAGGGATATATATAAGATATACATTTACACTCTAGACCCTCTAATATAATTATATATATATATATATATATATATATATATATCACACTTAATTGTCTAATATTCCCCCGCAAGCTAAGGCCGGGGAGCGACCTGTAGCTTGGAAAGTAATAGGAGAAACCATTGTGAAGGTAGCGGCTTGGTAAACACGTCTGCAATCTGATCATCTGTAGATATAAACTGAACTGAAAGCTTCCGTTGCACAACCATTTCTCGAACAAAGTGAAAATCAACTTCTACATGCATGGTACGGGCATGAAAGACAGGATTAGCTAAAAGATACGTAGCACCAAGATTATCACACCATAAGGTAGGAACCGACTTCACAGGAACCCGGAGTTCGCGCAGTAGCGTTTGAAGCCATGTGAGCTCAGCAACAGTATTGGCTAGAGCCTTGTATTCAGACTCCGTTGATGACCGAGAGACAGTCCTTTGTTTTCGTGCAGACCATGATACTAGGTTTGAACCAAGATAGATAGCATATCCCCCAGTGGATCGACGGTCGTCAGGGCAACCAGCCCAGTCAACATCGGAGAAGCCAGTCAGGGAGTTGTAAGCAAAATCAGTGTAGGCATGAAGGATTGTGCCTGAATCATGCATGATTTGTAAACCATAGTCAGCAGTGCCTTGCAAGTAACGAAGAATTCGTTTGACTGCCGTCCAATGATTTTCAGTGGGGGACTGCATAAATTGGCAGACTTTGTAGACTGCGTAAGTAATATCCGGACGAGACAATGTCACATACTGAAGGGCACCCACAATTTGGCGGTACTTGACCGGATCAGCAAACGTAATGCTATCACCAAGAGCAAGATTAGCATTAGTGGTCATAGGAGATGAAGTCGGTTTAGCATTAGACAGACCTGCGCATTGCAAGAGTTCAAGGATGTATTTCCGTTATGATAGAATCATATCATGACCCTGACTGGTCACTTCAATACCGAAAAAATAAGACAAGCGACCCATATCCTGAACAGCAAAAGATTGGCTAAGACGTTGTACCATTTTGTCAATAGCCTCCGGGCTGTTTCCTATCAAAAGAATGTCATCAACATAGACTAGCATGTACAAAATGGTGCCCCTGTGGGAGTAAATAAACAAGGAAGGGTCTGTTTTGGAGCCCTGAAAGCCAAGAGAATGAAGGACCGTAGAAAGTCGATGAAACCACGCTCTAGGGGCGTGCTTTAATCCATATAAGGATTTGTGAAGTAGGCAAACATGATCGGGTTTGTCCGGGTCAACGAACCCTGGTGGTTATTGCAAATAAACTGTCTCGTTGAGATCACATGTAGGAAGGCATTTTTCACATCAAGTTGCCTTAGGTACCATTTCTGTGTTGCGGCCAGAGATAGAACAACACGTATGGCGGTCGATTTGACCACGGGACTGAACGTCTCCTGATAATCAATGCCTGGTTGTTGCTGAAACCCTTTGGCTACTAGTCGTGCCTTGTAACGTTTTATTACCCCTGTTTGGTCCCTTTTTAATTTGTATACCCACTTGCAATCAATTACGTTGGAATTTGGAACACGTGGTACTAATGTCCAAGTATCATTCCGCATCAGCGCCGAATACTTGTCAGCCATGGCAGTATGCCACTGAGGGTACCTGTTAGCAATAGTAAAGGTGGTCGGTTCGGTGTCAGGTGAAGGATGATGGGTATGGTATGAGGAGGCATTGTAAGGTTTGGTTTGTTTGGGATTGGGGCGTAGGTTGGGTGGTCGAGTACGGGTGGGTTGTTCGGTGGTAGAGGAGGGGGGGTAGGGGTAGGCTGCGGTGGTGGTTCGGTGACTATGGAACGGCGGTGATAGGTGTGGATAAGGGGTGGTTGGGCCGTAGGGTGGTCATTAGGAGGGGTGGTGGTAGGTGTTGTTTCTTGTGGGACAGTATGCACTGTAGGTGCGGTGGAGGGTGTCGGTTCTGGTGGAGCAGAATGTTCATTAGGTCCTGGGGAGGATGAAGAGGTGGGTGGGAGGTCAGATTTGGGATAGGTGGAGACGTAAGGATTTGGAGTGGTTGGAGTAGGAGTTGTTGGAGGAGATGTTTGGAAAAGAAATGATTGTTCATTAAATCGAACATGACGGGCCACGTAAAGACGATCAGACTSTGGGTCGTAACACCGATAGCCATGATGAGCGGTGCTGTAACCAAGGAACACACAAGATGTATAGCGGAAGTCAATTTTATGTTTATTGTATGGACGGAGATGAGGGTAGCATTGGCATCCAAAAACCYGAAGAAAGGAAAAWTCGGGTTTGTGTTTGAACACATGTTCAAATGGTGAGGTGTTTGAGTTGGTTCTAGATGGCATTCGATTAATAAGATAGACTGCAGTGTCAAAAGCAAAATGCCAAAACCGTTGTGGAACATRGGATTGARCAAGTAAAGTAAGACCGGTTTCAACAACATGTCGATGTCRTCGTTCAACAAAGCCATTTTGTTCGCTTGTATGGGGACATGAGAGGCGATGGGTGATGCCGATAGGAGAAAAGAATTGAGAGAGATTCCGAAACTCGCCTCCCCAGTTTGTTTGGACAGATTTCAGTTTGGTTTGAAAATGTCTTTCAACCATCGCAAGGAATCGTTTAAAAGTGACATAAACATCAGATTTTAGTTTTAATGGAAAGATCCACATAAATATGGAGTAATGATCAACACATAGTAGAAAATAATTGTGACCATCAAAAGAAGGAACAGGAGCRRGCCCYCATACATCACAGAAAACCAAATCCAAAATGTGCGAACTTTTATAAGTAGATGGTAACAAATGAAGTTTAGACGATTTGCCAACAGAACATGAATCACAAAAAGTACTAGCACACTTATATTGTAAAGGTAAATGATATTTAGATAACATGGACTTCAAAAGTTGTGGATGTGGATGTCCAAGTCTTTGGTGCCATGTGGTGGAAGAGGCACGTGTGGCAGAAAACGACCTTTTCTGAACAGACTGAGGCTGAGGAGGACGGAAGGAGTAGAGACCACCATTACTTGGACCAGTGAGGAGGATAGTGTGTGTGAACTTGTCCTTCACAACAAAAAAAGTAGAGTGAAATTCAAAGTACACATGGTTATCAAAACAGAATTTTTGAACAGAAAGTAAGTTCTGTTTTATGTCAGGTAYGTGTAGTATGTCTTTAAGGGAAAAGGTTTTGTTTGGTGAATGAAGTTGTGAGGAACCAATGTTTAGAATGGGTAAACCCTTACCATTGCCAACGTGAAGGTTGTCCTCACCGTAGTAGGCCTCAGAGTTATCAAAGCTAGATAGGTCCGGTGCAACATGATGGCTAGAGCCTGTATCCGGAAGCCAAGCTTGTGACCGGTAATTTGTAAAGTTGGCAGAAGGTGGTTGTCTCGTCCTCATAGGAGCAGGGTCGCGATTGGGGCAATGAGACGGGATATGACCAATCCCACACCTGTTGCATGTGCCAAAAACAGTGTTTTGATTAGAAGCCCAACTAAATTGATTACGGTTACCTCCTCCTTGACTTCTGTTGTTGTAGTTTCCTCGTCCGCGTCTAGAATCACATCCACGGCCACGGTTATTCCCAGATCTGTTGGTGTAAAAGGCATGTGCAGGTTGTGCATTAACAGGCTAAACTTGAAGACCAAGTTGTGACAGAAGCTGTTGAATAGCTTGAAGTTGATCCGGTTGAGGAGTAGACGAGGTGGCACCAGGAACCGCTGAGTTGCGGTTGTTCGTGACAGTCGAGAATGCTTGAGGCGGAGAGATGTCAGTTGCAGATTTCTTGGTCATGTAGTCATGGTCTGATAGCAGGCCATGAAGTTCTACAAAGGCAGTTGGGAATTAGCGACCAAGGAGTGTTGACTTCAGCCTGTTGTATTCTTCTCTAAGACCCGAGCTAACCAGCATCACCAAATCTTTTTCTTTCATTGGCGAGAGCATCAGCATATTCTTGAGCCCTGGTCAGGTATGCGGAGGAGGTTTCAGCAGGCTTCATCTCTAGTTTAAGAAGCTGAGTTTTTAGGGTGTATTCCCTAGATGATGTGTGAGGAGCGTAAGCACGTTCAAGAGACAGCCAAAGATCACGGGAGGTAAGTCCTTGAACGTGTTGGAACGACGCCTCAGAGATTGTAAAAATAATCAGCATCCGTACATGTGCATCATTGGAAACCCATGCTGTGTAGTTAGGATTCGGTTGTGGTGGAGGCACTATGGTGCTGTCGGCATCTTTTCCAGATGATGATGATGATGATGATGATGAGATAGTCATCGGTGGACAAGGAATGGTGCCATTAACATAGCCGAACAGGTTGTTTGTGACAAGGAACGGTTGAACCATTGTCTTCCAATAGCCATAGTTGTTTGGTGATAAAGTGAAGCCAAACTTGTGGGAGTTATAGGTGGTTTTCTCGGTTAGAGTGAAAGCTGCAACAGTTGTCATTGGACAGAAGGTGAGGCAGCCGTAGGGTAGAAGACGGGTGCGGTAGCTTTAGGGTTGCCTTGTGATGGCAGCGGTAGGGCGGCAGCCGTAGGACGGCAGCGGTAGGGCGGCAGCCGTAGGACGGCAGCGGTAGGGCGGCAGCGGTAGGGCAGCGGTAGGGCAGCAGCCGTAGGCGTTTAGGGCCGGCTGCGGTATGGCAGCAGCCGTAGGGCAGCAGCTGTAGGCGTTTAGGGCCGGCTGCGGTATGGCGGCAGCAGTAGGGGAGCAGCCGTAGGGCAGCAGCTGTAGGGCGTTTAGGGCCGGCTCTGATACCAAGATAAACTTGGTAATTGTGTGTGTATATATCGATTACAATCAGGGATATATATAAGAGATACATTTACACTCTAGACCCTCTAATATAATTATATATATATATATATATATATATATCACACTTAATTGTCTAATAAAATACCACACTTGGTGAGTTGGTGGATGACCTAATGAATCACAAGGGTGGGTGCAAAGCGAGAGGTAAAAATGTCTGCAAACACCTGATAAACTCAGATACAGATCAGGTTTCCATGTACTAAAAAGTATCATATTGGTCGGAGCATAATGGTCTGGCTGCCTAACCTCTCTATTAAGGTAGTATCCCATCTTGTCTCATGACCAAATGCACCCTCCATGTAAGTCACTTGCCTCTAAAAACTGATCTATTTTTTGTTAGAATATCAACAGAATACAGAACTTCATTATTCTAGTACGGAGTAAAACAATAAGGGTGTGTTTGGTACATGGCAGGATAGAACAAAAAGTTGTTGTCTTACTTTTGTCACGACATAAACAAAAATGCATTTTTTCCATCAAAATAGGTGGAACAAAAATAAGGGAGACGGGACTATTTTGCTAAATTACTAAACTACCAAATAGTCGTTGAAACCCTAACTCTTTCACCCTTCACACGTGGCCTGCCTTCCTCTCCCCCGTCACCAACGTATCCCTCTCGTCTGCTCATCGCCATCCACAACTCCTCCTGACCAATCCAAATTTCTGTACACTTGCTCGGTTGCTCCCCCTCCCACTCCATCGCGGGTGTACTAGCTGAAAAACTCTCTACCTCCGGCAATTCACCCTCAGCTACTTCAAGCTACCATGAACTCAATTTACCAATAAATTTGCTTTACTTATATCTGACTTCTCCTTCCTGGTTGCTTATATCTTTATCATTAGACTCCCATGTCAACTCACCTGGCTTTCCAACCTACCTTCACGAACTTGCTGATTCTGCAATTACTTCAAATTCTTTTTATCTGCACATCCGCTTTTCTGGTGTGTGTTTGTACACTACTGGTTTCAATGTTTTCATTTTTTGGCATCTAAATAAAATTCAGTAATGGGTTTCGCATTTCAGTTCATAAGCTTTTATACCCATCAACAAATTTTTGACTGCTTTCTAAATCTTGTGTGCATGTGTGTAAGCTTGGGTTATAAAAACGTGGTTTTGGATGAGAATTTAGACGCTAAATTTAACAAATTTGGTCTGAGAAGTTCAGAAATAGAATATAGAAATTATGCATAATTTTTAACCAATAGAATTAATAATAATGTATGAACGTTTATAAATATAGTATATCAATAAAGGATGAATGTTTATGCACAAAATTATGCAAGTATTTAGATGACTTGTATCATTTATAGCTATTATATAATTAAAATACTTTAAGCAGCATTTTGGAGGCAATTCATACATTTTAACATTATTGTCTTGTCCAGCTTACCAAACTATACACACAACTCGCCCAATCCTGTCTAGTCATACCAAACACCTCAACACCTGACAGACAACTAGTCCAGTCCAGCGCAGGCAGTCCGTGTATCAAACACATCCTAAAAGAACATAAATCGGGGAAATTTTGATATGACATCAAATGATTTTCAAATTTAAATTTTTATATCTACTTTAAGTCAACTAGTTAGTTATCTTTGATAGTAATATATAACACTTCTAGCAATATATAAGAATCCAATCCTTCAAATGGTACTAATTTGGATTTATGTTATTCGTCATGATTGTAATCTTACTAGGCTCCCTAGATTTGTAATGCAAAAAGGATTTCTCTAGTTCCTTCTTTTAGTGAGTGAAAGAAAAGTTTCCCGCTGCCATATCATGTTGCATGCTTTCATGTACCAACATAAATCCCTCTTAATTTACCGTTTCAATATTGATTCATCATTCATCCTTGAATGGATTATTCCAAAGATTGGTCATTTCTCTCCAAGCTTCGATAGAGATCAATAATCACTAAATTGATAATTCATAATTATACCTAGCATGCCTTATATGTATGGGAACATTTATGAAGTACAATAATGATATCATGAGAACAAGTTATATCATCAGCTTGCATTACAGAAGTGTCATAATCCACTATATCAATATATTGTAGAATTAAGTCACACAGAGAAGTTGACAGCTTTGATCTGATAATTGTTTGAGGACACTTGGAAAATTATGGTAGTATTTATGTTAGTATACAATACAAGGCATATATTTGAAAGAGGAAACTTGGATCAAGGTATGAATATATCTTGTTAATCAAATACAATTTAATGAATATGTATAATTGATCCAATGGAATAAACCAAAACCAAAACCAAAACCAAAAAGGCCAGCAACAACTATTACCAACCTCTTCCAGGTCCCAACAAAGCCCCAACAGCTAAACTGCCCTTGAAATAGGAGTTGTGAAGTATTTCCATTAATGCGCCTGTAAAAACCAGGCTAAAGCATTTCAGGTAGCAAAAAGACAAAGCACTATACTAGGAAGCACTCTACATTATCTAGCTAGCATTCGAGAATAGTTTCTGCTAGAGTGATCATCCTTTGTACCCATTGTGATTGGCTTTAGTTTTCAAAAGAACATCATGGTTGCAGAAATCCCGAGGAAAACTTGAACATTTATAACCATTGTGCTCAGCTTTCGTAACAACCATTGTAGTTGCAGAAACTGAGGCAAATAAGTTCTAATGTTCCAAGTATAGAACCTTTTTCGGGGATTCTTGGAGACTTCCATAAAATAAAACCGTCGTACTTACAAAAAAAAAGATTTAGCAACTAAACTCAAAAAGTAAATATTTCAAAGTGATACCAAAAGTGGGATTCAATCGAGAGGGGGAAAATATTTTACCGAACCATAGAAAAAGGGTCAAAGCTAAAAATAAAACTGACGGCAGCCATTTTGAATCAAATTTTTCGATTGTTGGCAACGCACACTACTGGCAAAGGTCGAATGATCACAACTTCAGGGGGTACAAGATTGAAAACAAAGGATGATGAAAGAATTACCATGACCGATATGAATGCCGAGAGAATGCATTATATGAGAAGCATGCGATCCACAGCATAAAGCAACTAAAGTCCAAGCAAAAACAACCCTATTTCTACTCTCAATCATCAACGCCTCTTTCCTTGCCACCGTTTCCTTCCATTTCCTCACTTTCTCTTCAATCCCTAACCCCGACGCCCTCCTGTTTGATGGAAATCCACACTCCGTCAACCTCCGAGCGAATTCCTCCGCCGCATTCACACCACTCACCTCCGCATCAGCAGTCAACCTAATCGCCGCCGTCTCCGTCAACATATTGACCACCACCGATTCCACTCGCTCGTCAGACGACAAGATAGACTTGACACGTGAGACGCACGCGCCACACATCATTCCAGTTACATCGAGGAGCACAGAAGGATGGACTTCCCGGCCTGGTTGTTGAGACGTGGTCTTGGAAGCAGAGTTGAGATCGACTGCCTTGGCGACGACGAGGAGGTTAGGAAGTCGTTTGTGAACGATACGTGGCGGATGCAGGTAACGGTAACCACGGTGTCGCTTGTAGTCAACATTGCAGGTGAAAATGCGGTGGTTGGAGGTGGTGGACTGGTGTTGAAGTGGGAGAGAGATGCGGTGGAGATCGGTCGTCATTGTGTGTCTCTGGGAGAAAGAGAGTTGATCATAACCGCGTGAATTGGCAATAAAAAATTAATTTTCATTTCAATCCCTATACTATCGTTTATTTCAGATTTCATCCATATATTTCTTTTTTAACCAATAATTTGCATTATTTGAAACTAATTTTGATTTTTAATCATTAAATTTCTAAAATAGTTAGATAAGTTTGAGTAAAAAATAATATTATTCGTGATATAAATTATGTTTGTAAATGAAACATTTTGGTTTTGAATTTTTGCATAACTTTTAGGGACTATATTGGTGTTTAGTAACAATCTTCAGGGGCTAAGTGAAAATTAACAATTTGCGAAATATATCACGTGGCAATTGACTGGAGATGGAGTCACGATTAACATGCGGTCCGTATTTTATTTACAAACTGGATATACAATTTATTATTATTATTATATAATTTAATTTTTTGTAGAAGGCATAGAAAAGCCATGTTATAATACAGAGTAAATTATAATTTTGGTCCCTGTTATTTGTCAAAAATAATACTTTCATCCTTGTAGTTTTCAAATTAACAAATGACTATCATATAAAAACTTTCAGATTTGATTATTCTCTTTACTGATCGTCAAAAAAATTTCTTAAATGAAAATCATTTTCATTTTCATTTTCATTTTCTTAACGATATTTTTGTCGTTTATCCAATCAAAATTGATTTTATGATCTTAATTTTGATTGGTTAAAGACAAAAAACTGTTAACAAAACGAAAATGTTTCTTAATTAACGAAATCTTTTGATGGTTGTTGGAAGGAAGAATCAAATCAAAATATTTTACAAACCATCTTATGGTTTTTATTTTTAACAAACTATAGGGACTAAATTTGTAACTTATTCTATAATATAATATTAAATCGTTAAAAATAATAAATGGGATACATCCGAACCCAATCATGGAATGGGAGGTAGGTGGATAATTTAAAGCATTTATATTGTGCAACTTTCACGTTAATGTAGACTTTAGTTCTACCTAACCATCACATTCCGATCCATTTAATTTGTAGATACTTTGTTTTAGTTATCCGAATTGTCAAAAACAAAATAAATTCAAATCGATTGTTTATTAAACAATTTGATCGATATGTGATATATGCGAAAAAAATGGTGTAAAAAAGAAGAGTTAAGATGAGAATTCTAAGAATGCATCTGGACCATTGATCTCTTTTAATCTCAAATTCAATCATAAATCGTGCTTGATACGGGGCTTGATCCTGTACATTTCATCTTAATATACAGCCAAGAGTGAAAATTTCTTCTTACGTTTATCATTTTATCTCTCTTTTTCACTGGAACTTAACCCTTTATAAATAAACAAAAATGTCCCTTAGTCATTTACTCAACTCATTGGCGAAGCTGGCTAATGCCTAGGGTTATCGTGGCAAACCCTAGAAACCGAAACTCATATATAATATATAGTCAAAAGTAAGATGTTTTGAAAAATTATACTCTCACCGACACAGAAATCCACCATCTTTTTTTATATATATAAACTAGTTTGGGAATCGTGTGTTACGCGGTAGTATGAATACTTGGATTAATGATCTGATGGTTGTCTATATAAATATATATTAGTTGTTAATAGAATCATCAACAAATAGTATTCAAATCATTCAAAAAATTAATAAAATCTAATTTGTATATATTGAGAGAGAGATTTGTTTAGAAATAAAACTAAATAAAATGAGTAATAATAACGACAAGAATATGAAGGAATCTGAAACAACTCAAGAATAAAAAATGCTCCACATAAGGATATGTCTCCTTCAAATATTTCAACTTACATTGATGTAAGAAAATCAATTGAAAGAAACAAAAAGGAACCATATCTGAAAACTTAAAATAGACGATGAGCCACTCCTAAGTCATTGCAAAAATCTAACTTCAACTTTTCGTTTTCTTGCTTTGTTGTAAAATTGAATCTGTAGGGCTGTTTGGACTGACAATAAATTGAGCAATGAACATTTGTGCAACCAAAAGATAACTCATAAAAATCTTGGCATAAGAAAAAAAAAACTATCAAGAATATCAGGAAACAAAAATCAACCTAAAATATATTGTTTTAACACATATAAAGCAAGTAAATTAAAGAAAGTTCAAAATATATTTGTATTATACATAACTAACATCAGAAAGCAAAACGATTTCTTAGTGGAGAGATAAGTGTAAGCGTCTTGTATCTCAAGAATTATGAACATCGACGACTGCAATTAATGTCAACAATTATGGCTTTCTTTTATATGCAAGATGGAGAGAGCCAACACATGTTGTACCTTAAGAAATAAGGGAAGACCTTTAAACTTCTTCAATTAATATTTCATTATATAATTGCATTATTAAAAATGTACAAAATCATATATGATTCACATAACAAACTATACATGATTCGGGCGACTTTACTCTGCGACTTAAGTGGTCTCAAAAGTCGTCCGCTTCCATTTAATGTAAAATCACATGTGATTTTGTACATTAGAGACTTTTTTTCTTATTTTCTTAAATAGTTAGCGTTCTCGTTTGAACATTCATTTATTTATATTAATATAAATAAAAACATATGTATTTTATATATGGGAAAAGTCTTAAAAACCCAATAAACTTTAGTGTTTGGAATGATTAAGTTTTTAGACAATTTTTTTGGAATAAATAAATCTTTGAATATTTTAAAACATGTTAAATAACTCCTAAAATTTTCTAAAACTTGTTAGATACATTCTTATAACCTATATAACTGGTTAATATGGTAAAATAATGGAAAAGATCTGGAAAAAAAGCCAATGCACATTCATAATTTAAACTATTAAGTCCATAAATATTTTTTGAACTAAACGAGTACTTAGATCTATAAAATAAAACAAATATATCCAAAAATACTTACATTTTCAAAAAATACTTAAATTTAAAAAAGATTTTTGATAAAATCTATTTTAATCAAAAATAAATATATTTTGTTAGTGATTTTTCAAACTAAAAAAATAAAAAAAAAGATTTAAGATTACTAATTAAATTTATTTTAATTAAAAATAAAATATATCATGTATATGATTTTTCAAACTAAAAAAAAATTTAAAAAGATTATTGATTAAATTTATTTTATTTAAATAAATATACATTTTATTTTTAACTAAAATTAGTTTCATCAGTAAATCATTTTTAAATCTTTTTTTTACTTTTTTTAATTTGAGAAATCATATACGAAATATATTTTATTTTTAACTTAAAATAAATAAAATCAGTAATCTTTTTTAAATCTTTTTTTTATTTTTGAAAATCACTGACATAATAATTTTTATTTTTAATTAAAATAAATTTTATCAATAATTTTTTTTAAATATAAGTACTTTTTTGGTATATTTGTTTTATTTTATATATGTAAGTACTTTTTTTGTTCTAAAAGTGTTTAAGAACTTAATCGCTCAAAATATGAAAGCTTATTGGTTTTTTGAGCTTTTTTTCATTATTTTACCGCATTAATCAGTTTTATAGGTCATAAGGATGCATCTAACAGGTTTTAAAAAGTTCAAGAAGTTATTTAACAGGTTTTGAAATGTCCAAGTACTTATTTGTTTCAAAAAATTGTCTAAGAACTTAATCATTCTAAACACTAAAGTTAATTGGATTTTTTTACCCTTTATATATTTGTAGATTCTAATTTCATTTAAAAATGATAAATATGATCGAAATTCTTTTATTGAACCACCTTTTCGTCTTATTTTAATATATATATATATATATATATATTTTTTTTTTTTGATTGATTTTTGATGATTTATTTTTTCAATTGTCATTTACATAGAAATTTATATACATTGATGTACATAAAAATAAATGTATGTGCATTCTAATTTCATTTATAAAGAAAAAAAGATAAATATGATTGGAACTTCTCACTAAACCACCTCTTGATTCTTAATTTAATATATTTTTAATTATATATCGATATATTGATTGATTGAGAAATTTTAATGTATTTTGATATATATGTTGATTGATTTTGATGATTCATTTATTCAACTGTCATGTAATTAAAAATATACATTTATTGATTTAAAATAAAATATATGTAGTTTTATGTATTTGTGGATTCAAATTTCATTTACAAAAAAAATATTAAGTTAAAAAGGTAGGAAAATAAAAGGTTTAACAATTAATATGTTGATTGTATATCAAAAATAAATAAATAAAAGAATAAAGATAAATATGATAGAAAAATTTTCATTGAACAACCACTTGGTTCTTATTTCACAGACGGCATGTTGCACTGTGATAAAATTTATTTTGTTAGAAAATACGTAATTAAATTAAGGTGAAACGTAATTTCATAATAAATTGTAACATAAAAAGATGCTTGCATTGAGGTGTTTTTGTGTGATGATGATTACGATGTATAAGCACCAGAGAGGATAGTGTACATGTATCATTTTTTCATTCTCAACACACACCTTGACTCAGGGGAGGAACACAAGCTTTCTAACCGTAGGGGCCGAACCTGATATATTATATATTTTCAAAAATACACAATCCAAAATTAAAACGTAGTAAAACTCTAAAACTAGATGTCAAATATGAAAATGTCAAACATCGCTAATCAAAGTGAAACTCGTCGATCTTTCGTGGCTTTGAAGTCCTCCACAATTTCCTTGAGCGTTTATGCTGTAATATCACGTACATTAACAAGTCCAAAGAAACACTCTATAATGAATCATTCTTTATTAACAAATCTCAAAACAATAGACATTTGTTCTTTTATGAGACTCATCTCGTGCTTCGTTAACAAGTAAACAAAAACCTTCGACCACCAATCTCCTCACAAATTATTTGTCTCACCTTATTTGATATAAGATCAAATTTTCTTTTTGAATCAATGGCGACGTATATGATGCATATTTGGGAGCACACAAAATAACTCTTTAAGCTCAATGCTAAATTCACCAAGTGCCTCCAATATTTCAAGAAAATTCCCCCCCTG